AAAATCCATAAGGGTCCCATAAAGTTCATGGGCCCGTTAAAGGATATATTTGGGCCCCTTAGGTTTGCATTATGGTTTTATTTGGGACCAATGTGGGTTTTGTCCAAAATAATTTACGGGCCCATACCTGTCTCTTATACACATCTAGATGTGTATAAGAGATCTCACTTTATACTATCTGGCTTTTTCAACCCTCACTCACTCGCCACTGAGGAAGGACTAGTGTTGTCCGAAAGCTCTGGTTCTATTTCTGGCTGTTTACTTACATTTACTTTTTAGCTGTTGCTTATAGGAGTAGTATATAGGCCTATATATATTCCTGATATATTCGAAACGGTACTGTCTGCAGATTGCAATATTTACGCTCCTTTACATTGTGCTGCTAAGGTAGTACATTGTTTTGTAGAACACTCTTATTTTAAGATGATGTATTGTTTATGTAACACTATTTTGCAATTTGCATAGCACATTCATTTTGGGATTGTGCACTCTTGTATTCATAATCAGTGTACCACGTCACACATGGCTGACCCAAGCCATGTTTGAGTCTGTCGTGTGTTTCATACTTGAAATCCTTAGCTGCACTGATGAGATCTAACAAGATAAGCAAATAACAGCAATATTGTAGCCCTAGACATCCTCTAACCTCTGAGCCACCCGAACACTCACAGAGTGAAGAAGACGATGCCTGTCCTTAGATGTCATTCAGCAAACTGCCACTATTCAAAATGCACTATAACCTATAAGGGGTTTGGTCCGATAAAATCAAATAAAACTTCCAATTAATTTTCGATGAGAATCGAATTTTGTATTTAAGTAACAAATATGAGATGACTTACCATAAACACTATACTATTTTAGCAAACATTATACTGTTATAAAAAACAGAATGTAAAAATAATGAAATATATACATTAACCGTTAATGAATTGAAACCTAACCTATGGTATTGAGTTGGCAAACAGCGAACAATCAAATATAACTGTATTAATTTCGAGGGAAAAAAACGTAATTTAACCTACTACTAAATATTGAAACGTAGTAACCAATATAATATGCAACCGGACCTAAATATTGCAAGTAATTAGATTTTATTTTCTTGACACTATTGACATGCGAGTTACACCATATAGGCATACACACGCTAGTTTTATTGTCTGATTTTATATTGAATTATCATGGACTTATTAACAAGTTCATGGTATTTAATATCTGCTGCCAACCCAGCTTTTACACAATGGATATAAAAAAAATAGTTATTTAAATCATACTATTGTAACAAAATGGTGCAGTCCACCCCCTACTATAAATAGATTAGTCCACTCCCTAATGCTGGGAGCCGATTGGCTATCTAAAAATAGCTGGGTTGGGATCTTAAGACCCATCGCCCAAGACATGTAGTAGTTGAGCTCTGGATCTCATGAAATTTAGAACTGGGAAATCCCGACGTTAGTGTTAAGTAAGGTAGGACCCTAGTAATTCTATAAAATAGTTTATAGTCGAACTCAGTCATTAAGACTTGAGAACCCAGTAAGGGACAGGCCTACTTATAGTCTAATTCCGGTGTTAACGGGAACCGGTTGGCGGCTGCTGTGTGCTCCGTATATATGACATTGTATTTGTTGTTGATAATGGTACCAGTTTTATTGATCCAATAAATGCTATGAGAAACTCAGTTAATTTTGTTTGAAGTTTATTCAATAGTCGATCCCTATTATCTGACGGCGTGTCCGACAGACTTACTTACGCAGGACTTAGACTAGACTGAGACTGCTTGGCCGAAACCGCCACACTGGTGTCAGAAGCGGGATACATTGGTTACGGACGGCAGCATTGAATATTTGCGAGTGAACTACCCTCGCAAGGAATAACCAGTATTATCGGGCCTAGGATTGTGAGTGATTACCCTCAGAAGGAATAACCATTATTATCGGGCCTAGGATTGCGAGTGAACTACCCTCGCAAGGACACAGACGAATTTTGCGAGCGCACCCTCGAAAAGGGATTATTAGGGGAATTCTGACGAATTTAAGTGAGTGATTACCCTCACAAGGAATATTTATCATTTTGCCTACGTACACGCATGGATTTCTCTAGGGAATCATGGCCAGGAATGGAAAATTCATTGGAATGTTTGAGGCAGGAGATACAGCGGCTGGAGGGCGAGATAAAATTTTCAGGCATGGAGATGAGAGAGACCAATATGGAAGGCCTACCAGGTCAATGTGACATGAATCCATTAGCAACAAGTGCCGAATATAATTCAACACCATGGACGAGGAACAGGCCAGACGATGGGTCGATTAATAACATTGATCACCTGAAGGGAACGACGGGAACGGAAGCACGTTATTCATTCCCGGCAGGACCACCTGTTGGATATAACTCAACGCTGTGGATTAGGCCTATAGGAATTAGCAGGACTAGGCCTACAGACGCTAGGCCAATGCCCGCTGTTAGCCGAACCTACCCCAAGAAAACAGTGGAGTATGAGAAAACAGGAGCTTCATGCCCGCCGTCGGTTGGACCACCAATGGCCCAGTCGACTGAAAAGAGAGGGACGGCACAGACGGAACCCCCAACATCATCCTCATTGCCATGGCCCTTAACTAGGGAGTCAAGGATAGTTTGAATCTGCGTTCAAAACAGGCGACGTCAGTACCCGAAACCCCAGCTGGGCAGGACGGGAAAATGTGGCAACAGAGGAGAAGACTGGTGTGTTATAATTGCATACAGGAGGGACACATTGCTCGACGCTGCCCGAAAAATTACACACGTCAATCGGGAAACGACGTGCAGCCGACTCCAGGGGTCGGGAGAAGGCTGGAACGAACCGAGGACCATCAAATACTCAGGGAAGCGGAAGAACCCCTTCAACGACACAATAAATCAGCCGGAGAAAAGGACATACTCACAATACAGCCCAAGAGAAGGATTGTATGTACCATTTTTAATGATTCAAAATATATGTAACACTTTGTGTTTTTATTTACAATATGAAAACAAAATATATATAAGAGAGAAAGAATATGTTCACGCTCTGTACACTCGGATGCCGTCCGGAATTTGGCATTCCGACAGCTTCAGCTTGATCAAGCACCTGCACAGCGGACATCTCGCCGTCCGTCCGGAACAGGATCGACACATCAGTAGATGTTTGCAGGGGAGGGTGAACACGTCCGAGACCGCATCCAAGCACACCTTGCACGAGTCAGACTCTTTCAGAGTTCTCAGCGATTGCCAGTCGAAGTCCTCCGGACACAGTTTGCGGAGAACGTCGGCCACCAGATACGCCGTCTTGCCCTTCGACGGATGGGATCGGACCATGTCCTTTGCGATCGCCAGAACGTCCGCCACTCGATCTCGTTCCACTCGACCGGTCCCAGAACGGCGGAGATCCAATCCTTCGTGGATGCACGGTCTCGTTCTTTCGGCGAGACTAAGAATCAGTCGACCCGACGGTTGGCGACTGTTCGATGGTAAGGGTCGTCTCCGTCGCAGTGGACCACGCATCTCCTCGATATCTGGAGCGGCATGTTTCCAATTATCATATAGTATTCGATCGCAAATTCGGAAGCGACGACCTCGGTTGGAGAATGTACTTGGTATTGTTGAACGTCAGACATGAAGTTTATCTCGTTCCTCAGCATGACTTTTTTCAGGCATTTGACAGTGTTCCGACTCAGGGGGCACAAGTTCATGTAACTTCCGTCGAGTAACTTCGCAGTCGGTGAGTCCAAAGTCGCTTTTGCGAGCACCGTGAAGCTTCCCCGAGTGTCAACGTCGTCGACGGACGTCGGTATGTACAGGTTGTATTTGTCGTTCTTGTTCGGGGGTATCTTCAGCCGCACGTTACCGTTGGAAGAAACGAACGAGACGGTGATCTCCTTGATGCTATTCATGTTTGCAAATTGTGAGCCTTTTCTGTGGGAGATGCATCACACATGACGTCATGTTTTGTTTGCTTTAATAGGCGCTTTAAAAATGTGTATTATTATTATTATTATTATTATGTGTACTTTCAATCACGACGCTTTCTGTATGGTTTCCGGATAACGAGGATGCATGACACATGACGTCATGTGTACTTCGAATCATGAAGCTTTCTGATTGGTTTTGAGTTGAAAGGAAATGTGTGACGTAGCGCAAACACCGAAGACGTTAGTCTCATCTTAGATTATTATAAGAATGGCCATTTTTTTCGTACGAGACTATCATTTCAAGATGAGCAGCCTCGCGTCGACATCGATGAACAAGGACGGACTCGATTACACGTTTGTGGAAGGGAACGTGTCGGATGATCTGACGTGTGGCGTATGTCTTCTCGCCGTCCGACGAGTGGTGCAGGCGCCGTGCGGCTGCCGGTTTTGCGAATCCTGCATCAAGGGACGGACGCCCGGCTGCGACGGCAGGGAAAAATTACTCTGTCCGAACAGCGAAGAAAAGTTCGCCGAAGAAGAAATCGCACCCGATCATCACGCACGCCGGAAAATATCGAATACTCAGATATACTGTCCCTACAAGGATCGGGGATGTTCGGAAACGTTCGCACTGAAAGAACTCGGACGGCACCTGGAATTTTGCAACTAATTGCAAAAAAATCCGCTCATTATGCCAGAGAGTTTCTACTAGTGTTCTTAGATTAAGTGAGTGCGACTTGAGATCACTGTACATTATTTTGGCCTAGTATAACGGAAATTCCCTATTGTTTCGGTATTCCATTTGTCTTGACAGTGTAAAAATTATATAATACCTTATACTGCCACATCAGATAAAAAAAAAACACTGGTGTAATCATGGGTGTGACACAGGATAACATTGACAAAAATAATAATAATAACACTATCCTCTCGAAAATCTGTAATTTTAAAGTACTCAAAGAAATCTGGATTTCCTAATTAAACTAAGAGGATTGTTTCCAATAGGGTCTAGAAAACATTTTCAAAACAATTTTCAAGAAAACAAAACTGTTTACAACTTACAATGCCCGAAGGAGACTCGGAAACAATGATCACAAGACAATAAAAGGGTGGTAAAAATGGTCAACGGTTAGGTCTTAATAAATATAATCATTGACCGCAAGAGAAACATAACGATCTAAATAAAATACCACCAATGGTGCGACGTTATTGTTGAAAACGCAGTGAAGTTGGTGAGGTAACATTTATTACTTTGTCTTGAATATGAATTAAAATCCTATTACGGCACTAACGTGTAAGCATGCAAATATTTCAGTAAGGGGCTTACCCATTTTATTTAGAAATATATTCGAGAAGCAAATTTTACAAATATTCTCAGTTTTTAATTCAGAAGAAAAATTCTAGATTTTCTGGGAAAATTATATTTTATTTTGGAAGAGGGAAATTAGCCTTCAAGATTGGATTTTAGGTAGACTTGAGAGG